CCGACGCCACAACCTGTACCTGAGCCACAGCCAGAGCCGGAACCCCAACCCCAACCGCAGCCACAGATACATACACAGACTCAACGAACGTCAGAAACACCTGTTGACGATTTCAAACAGCATGCTCCAACGCCCGCGGATACATTCAAACCTCCGCATCAAGTCATCAAGCGCACAAACTCTACCAGCATCATCTCTCTTGATTTGACCGACGAACAAGCCGAGCGCGTGTATTTCATTTGGTCGGTCGACGACGAAGGCATGGAAATGGAGTTTTATCACACGCTACGCGAATGCAAGTCTTTTGGAGGCCTGCTCGGCCTGCTGGAGGAAGAGAGTGAGGACCTACCCTCTGTTGCGAGCATATTGGAGAAAACCAAAACCTGGAAACTGACATACGATCTTGGTGACGGTATCAGCAAAGCGATCGTAGCCCGCAAAGGCACGGAGACCGCATTCGATCGTCTACAGACTACACTTGCTCAATCGTCTATTTGGGCAGACAATCCTCAAGCAAAAGTCGATATCGTACTCAAGTCTTTGAGCCGGCCAAACCCTGCTTGAGCGACATGAGCAACGGTCATCGATGATTCTCTTCCTAGAATTCCAGCCTCGGCGTTCTTCGAAGGTGTGCTCTTTCTCACTTTCTCTAGCATCTGTATACCATTGAGTACATCGATGGCTTTTTTGCGTTGTCCTACATATACCCCGATCATTCTTGATCTTTCGCGTGCGAGTTGGTCGAAAGCATCGATACCAGGCTGGCGGTTGTATAGCACTGGTGCTCCATGAGGCTGGGCAGGATCCAGGCAACTCATAAAATGTTTATTCATATGAATACTAATGACGATCTCTATATGGCTTTTCCTCACAAAACTTCCAGAGCCTCTGTTTGAGCGTGTGCACATGCTACAGCACATCCGATGATGTAGTGATTCCCCATTGCCTGTACACCAGCGAGGTCTGCCCGCCACTGCGCATCCGATGTCAGTCGCGCCAATAAGTGGAAAAGAAAGCGCAGTAGTATGCATGGACTTGAGCCACCAAACATCACTGTCAGCAGCGGTGAGCTGCATTTCGCCACCCCATAGACGAACAACAATGTGCACAATGCCTTGTGTAAGTGATTTGGGGGGATCGTCGGCTAACGCGATATTCCAGCCAATCGGCAGCAACTGCCCTCTGGTTCCGCCTGCCATTCCCAGGCGGGTGCCGCTAACCCTGTAGACGAGCTTTCATACGCCGCTATGGTTTCTTCATCCGACTCTTATCATCTATCGTGTTCTCGATTCATCTTTAAGAATGTCGTTCGTTTCCCTTGCGCGCCCCATCGCTGACTCGTACATGCTCTAGACGGCCCTTTGGCGAAATTGCACGATCTGGCTGCCCCAGTCCTGAGAGCATCTGCATGTAATCATACCCGAGAAAATCAGCACTACACATCACGCCTCCCTTGCATACTCGCGACACCACAACGCTCGGAACCCATACGACCGTCTACGGACGCATCGTTAGTCTACATTCAATTCACCTGGCGAAATTTCGCGATCCATGCATCTAGCCCAGACGCCATGGACGGCTCAGCTATCACATACGCAACGTCCAAGGACTGGTTGGACATTATGAAGAATCGATCAAAAGTGCGTATGCACGAGCTGATCGAGCGTCTTGGACTGCGCGCAAAGTGGTCATCGAACAAACGCGGTAAAACAAACTTTGAATCCGCCCTCGTACGCGAGCTTGTTGCAGACATGGGCGATGTTGTCTCCACGTTACCGAAAGAGCCGGATGAGCTGATGAAATTTCTGAGCGACGAGGGAAGTTTGAAGGAGCAAGTCGATGGCTTGCTTGAGAAACATGGCGCCAAGGTCTGGGGAAGAGTGGGCGATCGCGAGCACCTAATCACCGCGAATGAACCCGGAGTCGAAGAGGGACTTTACCCGCGGGATCTTTACTTGGAGAACGAGGAAGACAGAGCACTGTAAGTACATAAGTTTGAGAGCACATCTATCTCGAATTTGGGTCTCGCAATACGGCCGAATAGCTACTGACCCACCACGCAGAATCCACAAACTTCTCCATTGGTGGATCGGGCTGAAGGCATGCAACGTCATTCTTGCGCGCGAACGCCTGGATCGCGAGAGACGAAAGAAGGCAGAAAACCGCCAGGCGCGAGCTGATGCCGAGTTTTCTGGCCAGCAAGAAGGCGGCACGCCAGCATCATTTGTTGCGCTTGCGCCAAACTCGGTGTTGCACGACGGCGATACAGCGTCACGTGGAAGCCCAATGTCGTCAAGTGCAATGCTCACACCTCCGGAATCTGGGGAAAGTCCCACTATGGGACCGCGGGAAGGAGGTGGGTTTACAGCTGTCAATGGCGGTGGGCATGCAACGAATGGCAATGCCGCCTTTACATCGGCGAAAGCCCACGAACAACAGGCTACACAACAATCCAACATCGCCGAGGGTGTCTGGAACAAACTCACAGCTGAAGCGAACAAGTCTCGATATCTCAGTACGATGTCAGGCCCTGCTGCTACCCACGCTGCACATCCTACCGAGACCAAAGCAGCGGCACAACAGCAAATCACCGACGCGACCCAAGCGGCTGCTGATCGACAAGTCAGCGTCCAAATGGCCGCGCTGGTAGCAAGCTTTCGGTCAGATGACGGTGTGCCAGAAGAGCTCCCGCAGCCAAACAACAGCATACCCTACCGTGGTTTAGACTACGACGGCTTACGGGCGCTGCGGCAGTACATATATGGAGAAGAGCGAGGTGTTTCAATGGACGAGGAAGCGCTCCTCAACCAACTCGAAAGAACATGGCGAGAAGGCGTTCGAGCCGACTACAATAAGATGATTGAGAACATTCCCGTTTTCATTGCGAGAGAACGAGCATTTCTGACCTGGGTGGAACTCAAGCGCCACCTGGCAGCTCTATTACGAGCAAACGAACGTACGTTTTACCAACTGCATTTGCATCTGATCTATCTATACTTATCCTACTGCAGGTTGGTCAGCCGAAGGCCACACAGCCGCCGAGATCGAGAGGCGCATCCAACAGCACCGCACGCTCATGGGCTGCACGCAAACCATCATCGCCAATTTTGAAGACGTGGGTCGAGGATTTGGTCTCGGCCCCAACGTCGCCGTCGACCGCGATGAGCTCCTGCGACAGGCCATCGTGGTGTTGGCCGGAGAAAAGTACGCAGTAGAAATGCAGTGGAAGCCAGTAGATTTTACGCAAGTAATGGGCTGGCTACACGACCACCTGGAGAGCTTCCGCAAGGAAGAAGAGGAAGATGGAAAGGGTATGCTCTGGTATATTGGCGAGTCACGACGCTAGTCACAATAACCACGATGGAGATACGCACGTATCGTGCGCGCGGGCAGCTGTAGTCGCAAAAACTGTGTACGAGGATCATACAGGCGTTCAGGTTTTCAGGGCGACGATCGATCGCCAGGGTCGAGGCCCCCACTAGTAGGTGTCCAATTCGGGAAAATAAGCTATTCGGGTAGGTCAGCCGTAGAGTGGTGGTTTCAGCTACTTGATCATGTTACAGGACCGTGTAGGATTACACTAGCTCAGCTGTGCCACACCTCATCACCATGCAGTACGGGACTCTGCGACGCGTGATTTGCTTTAGTTTGCGATCGCCTGGAACGCGCGAGCGCATAGTGAGGGCGCGACTGTACGCAACTTCGATAGTTCGGCAGCTAGTATCCGAATGAATACACGGCTCGGCAGCACTTCGCAGTATACCTTTTCGCTTAGTGTATTCCCTGCAGCCAAGGGGCGTTGTCTTCAGGCTCCGCACTGCGCCGTAAATCTCCCTAATGCCACGTTCCTATTTTAGAGTGCAGGCAGTGACCGCGCCGCACATTCGTCACATTGCCTCACATTTTTTTTCTTTCGAGCTGTGGCGTTTATCAGATCTCGCTGTACCTCCCATCAATATTATGCGGCGCGCAGTCTAGACGGGAACCGGTTGCACAGTTGAGTAATCGCAGCTCGGTAGTACAAATCTATGGGTGAGGGACGAGCGCGTCATAGATGCATGTGTAGTTGTAACTCCTGACCATGATACCAACGACATCTATCCCCGGCTATACGAAACCGTGATAGTGCCGCTTATTCGCTGATTGCATGTGGCGGCTAATGGAGGCTTTGAGTAAGAGGATCGGATGTTTTGGCCTATGCGAGTAAGAGTTGTGCTGCTAGCGACATATTCATTTGTACCTCGTGTATGATGATTGACCCCTGCGATGGATATGATTAGCATAATGCAGCAAATGAGCACCACGCTCATAGTGCAAGTGTCGTACAATGAACAGGCAAGGGCAAAGGAGACCCGCTGGGTGTGAACGAATGAGGATGGGGCGGTACTATGATTACACCTGATGGGGATTTATTGGCGTGCGAGTCATTAACTTCGGAGTGCGGACGCGTATTACCTCTGCACATGTTTTGTTGCGGCCCCTGCCGGATCATTGTCTCGCTACTGGACACACCTCTTTTCTGGGTATCTTTTCGACGCAGCGTACCGTCGTTCGCCTTCTACACGTCACCGGCATCAATCATCATCACCAATCCTTCTTTCGCCGCCCAACGCCCCTCTCATCAGCGCCTGTCGGTTCCTACTCCAGAGTACAATTGCTGCGCAGTTTGTTCTTCTTGTGTGTACAGGGGCTATCAATTCTTTGTCTAGTTTGGTAGCACGATCGGCATCTGAGACTGGACAAAGTTTTTCTTGGGGTAGCAGCAGCTGGCAATAAGAAAACTTTGTTCCAAGACGGCCTAGTGGAACGTACTCCTTTTACCTTTGCCGAGCGAGCTACCATCAATCACCCCAACCTTGGAACGTCGAGAGCGGATCCATCACACTTTGGCGCACGCGCCATTGATTGTCATTCCCCATCCCATCCGCTTACTTTTCCATCGTCATTTTCCTACTTCCCATTTCATCTGTTGACGTGCCCGTCATCACCCATGTGGCGCCATGAGCTCAAAGGATAACTTGGCCCTGGATCTGGAGCACGGCGTGCGACGCTGGGATCGCGCTCGCTGGATATCCGTCTTCAGCTCGCATAACCCGACTATACGCGAGGTGACGGAATGCTTGGGCCTGGGCTTATCGGCGTCTTCGTCCACGACCAACCGCGGCATTCCGAAATTCGACAACCCAGACTACCGCAAGCTCTCGAGTGAGGTGACGAAGCTGTCCAAGGAATTGCCAAAAGAAAGAGATTTGTTGCTGGATTTCGCGGCGGATCCGAGTTCCCTGAACCAGGAGCTCGAGGACCTGCTAGCGAGTTACGGACCCGCTATTTGGGGCAGGGATGCGGATCGCAGCTGTTTACTCACGCCGGATGCGACCAAGAAGACGTATAACAAAGATCTGTTTTACGAGGAGCCGGAGCATAAGGATATGTAAGTTGGAGTGGTCAGGTGTCAGGTGTCAGAACGCGCGCTAAACCTATTTTAGTCTCAAGATTCATCTGCATCGGTGGATCATCATCAAAGCTTGCTACTACATTCGCAACATGAAGTTGAAGAGGCCATCGGGTGCGAATGAGTATGATCAGCTTGCCGATATCGATGCCGAAGGCCTTGTAAGTTTCGATGAGATGGTTGGTGTTGTCATGGCTAATAAGCGGTAGTCACCACATGGGACGCCACAGTCACTCACCCCACCAGATCCGGATACTGTTGCAGGCGCTGACCTTGACGTTAAACCTATTAATCTGAAGAAGCGCAAGAGCAATGCTCACCTCACCATGTCCGACGATGAAGATCCTGAGGCTTCGCCAATCAAAAGGCCGTACAGCACTATGCCTGTGAGCCGGAAGGGCAGCCCAAGGAAGTCACTCAAGTCACTGTATCCTGCAGGCCCGGGCAGCATGGAGAACATACCTCCTATGCCGACGCACATGCATCGTTTCTCGCCAGCACCAGGAACCGCATCTGAACCCTCGCGGATACAGCTCAGTCCTCTATCAAACAACGACTTGAACGGCGTGTCAAGGCCTCCTGCTATCACCCAAAGCTCCGCACCTGCAGGCTTCACGGCTGTCAACAACGGAGGTTTCACTGCTGTTAACAACACGCCTCCACCTAGCGAGCCGCCTCGAGAGCCAACACGGGAAGCATCCAGAGAACCGTCGAGAGAAGTGCACCGACCCCCTCCTGGTATTGGACATCGTCACAGCAACAGTTACACGAGCCCATATGAGCCGTCTTCACGCAGTGCTGCCATGGCTCGATCTGCTACGGAAACTCCTCGATCTGCACCGCCTGCCACTCCTACACCAGCTTCGAATCAAGGGTTTCAAGCAGTGAACGCATCTTCAGCAGCTAATGGAGCAGGTGGATATATGAAGAGGGAGTCTCCTGCCGTTCAGCCTCCTCAGCACACAAATATCGCTCCGCAGCCACAGCAGTCGCAACCGCAGCCACAGCAGTCGCAACCGCAACCTCAAGCACAACTGCAGCAGCAACAGACACCGTCCCACCCTTCACACCCACACCAGGCATCACCGCATACACATCATCCTCAGCACACGCAGCTACCGTCACATCCGCACATTCAGGCTCAGCAACAGCCTCCACCCCAACCACCAAGTCGATCTAATACCCCGAGCCACCCCTTCGGCCGTTCTCTCGCACCACACCCTCGCAGTAGATCTAGTACACCACATGCGCAGGCCGCACCTAATCAGCCTATCATGGCACCTAATAAGCAGGTTACCTCTGCACCCGCGATACAAAGCGCCCCCGCATACGGCATACAACTCGTTCCTACTACACAAGACGCACCGCCCGCGCCCTCGAGCAAACCCCGAGCGCCCTCAAACCACAGCCAGCCCGCCGCCGCACCCCAACACACCTCACCGCACCAACCCGTGTTGAAAAGCCACCAACAACCGCCCCAACCCCCCGAAACCGCACACGTCGTCCAGCCCCCACAACCCCAAACCTTCCCCCGCGGCTCCGTCTCGACAGCCGACCTCCGCCTCCTCCAATGCGAAGTCACCGCCGGCCTCTTCACCTTCTTCTACCCTCGCTCCACAATGCCGCCCGACGAAGCCAGCCTCCTCGTCCGCATGCACACACTCTGGTACCACGGCGAACCCCTCTTCCGCACCGAACTATCCACACACTACGATCTCGTGTCCAAGATCCTCACCGCATGGCTACACGAGCGTCAAGCTATTGCTTCACTACGGCACAGCATGGCCGCCAACCCCGGCGTGTCTCACATTGGCCTGGTAGACCGGTTGCTGGCTATGAACGATCTTAGGGCTATGCGGTTGAAGTGGAAGAATATGAGTAGTATTGATGGACTGAGTCCTGAGGATCTGCTTTGCATGGCTTTTAGGGTTATGACGAATACGGAGGGGAGCGAATATATGTTTAAAGATGGGTTGGCGAGGCTGGAGCTCGGTGTGTTTGAGTTTTTGAGGAGCGAGGATGCGAAGATTGTTATGCAGCGGAGGGATACGAGGGCGGGGTGATGTGGAGTCGGTTCAGTAGGGGGTTGAGGTGGTTCTCCGACTGCTTTCCTCCTTCTGCTCGTTTCTTCATCTTCTCTCCATTCTCGGTTTTTTTGCTTCTGCGATCTGCTTCGGTTCCCGTACCCGTTCGCATGCCATTTCTCTTTCTCGATTCCGATTCCGATCTTTCGCTTACCTTTGTACTAATGCCACTTAGCGTGGGTGGATGGGAGTCCTTGCGCATGTTCTCTCTCGTTTTCTGGCGTCGAACTTGCTTTTAAAACGTATTAGCGATGGCGTTTGGGACATTACCTCTTTCGTTCGACTTTTCTGTTTTCCTTTTTTTTTTGTTACTGTGTTCAATACGAAAAGCGGGTTGTGGGTTTCGATATTAGCTTGTGTTACTAAATTGGTATGAATAGTCGTTGTAATCGGGGGGTGGGATCGAGATTGGGGGCGTGGTAATGATTGTGCGATGCGGAGTAGAATAATTGAACGCAATCGGAGAATGAAGCTTGTATTAATCACAGTATGAATGTACCGAAGTTGTGAAATCGTCTTTTGTTCGATGCTGCATGCGACGAGACTCCATCTCCCACTCGCGCAATGACCAGATGCGATCATCCACTGGCGGTCTGGACCTATGAGGTCGTCTGACCACACGTCCTCACGTGCACCCCTCCGACCCCGGCCTCAGCGCATCATCGCGAGTTCTCGCCCACCCATCCCAACTAAGACACAACGACACCCTCTTCACGCGGCCTCGCCCCTTGCGCTCCCCTTCAGCCTTGTCATGCGAACATAGCAGGGATTAAACCTGTCCCGCTGCGATGCGCCTTCCCGGCGGCGCGCCCGCCGTAGCTGCTTCCGGAACCTTGTTCCTTCACATCTGCCTCATGACACCCTCCAGGCGCGCCCACTCACCGGTAGTGCCCACGCACCTTCACTGCCATGAGCGGCCTCGTGAATGCCCCACGCGCTCGCTGCAGCCGCACACTATTTTATAGCCGTGTACCGTGGACAGCCATATGATTCCACACTCTATCGCTTATCTTGTACTACGCGCGTGGTTTTGGCGCCATGGTGCTGAGACTCTTTGTGCCGCCTGGTATGTCTCGCCGAAGACGATGTGGAGAAGTAGTTGCTGACAGAACGTATAGCCGAAGGGCAACATCGCCTTACTCCCAAACGCCCTGATCCCATCGGTGCGAACGCTACACCTCAGTACGCCGTCATCTCCTCGACCGTCCTTGCCGCCGCGTATACGTCCTTCGCCTCGAGATATGCACAAAGTGTGACCCCTACGAGACCGATATCGCGGCCAGCGGTGTTTATACGGGCTTCGGCAAGGCTGGGGGTTTGGGCGGGCGTGGCAGGTGCGGCGCTGAACTGGTATTACTACTCCGCTTTTGCGGATGTGTTGGTGTCGACGAATATACCGGAAGTCAAGCCCTGGAAGCTGTATGAGCGGACGAAGAGGTATACCATTGACGATGGTGCTTTGGCAGGCGCGGCATTGGGGCTGGCTATCTCGGTGCCTTCGCTGTTTATGCGCCGGCCTGCTATACCCAGGTGGACGCGCTGCTTAGGCATGACGAATATCGGCGCTTGTGCTGGTGTCCTGGGAGCGCATGCGTACTTTCAGTACAGCGGAGAGAGGCAGGAGGCATACAAACACTTTGGTCGACATGTCAAGCGACGATCATTCGAGTTCTGGAACATCTTCTGGGATCCGGAGCTCATGGCGAGCCTCGACCCAATCATGCAGCAATACGTCTCACACAACAGCCTCTGGTACACCCGGTGGCTGTCAGATGAGGCCTTTGAGCGAGCAGAACAGGACGTGCAACTCGAAAACAGCAGCAGTGAGCCTATGGCAGATGCTGCAACACCTGTCGAGCAACAGCCACCGTTCTACACTACACCCTTCGACTATGCCGAAGACCTGCGACGCATCGATATTGAAAGCACGCTGGCTACTATGGAAACCATGGAAGCTGACAAGAGGGAACTACTCCGGGAGTCCGAGTACCTGCTTTACATAAACGCACAGCAAAAATACGACCACTGCCACATGGAGTCTACGGACGAGGATGAACGTCAAAACCTCCTCCGACAAATCCAACTCGTCGACATAGCATACGTCAGTCTTCGCAACGCAGCCCACGACATCGACGTCAAGCTCACACAATGGCGCATTAGCCTCCGACACAAAACAATTTGGGAAGCAGGCCAAACCACCGCGACAGGGACGGATAGGCTTGCCGACTGGGTACCCGAGCCGCCATCCATATCACCCACGACCGAAGCCATCGTCCCCGCCACACACAAACCGACATACTCAATGGGCGAGTTAGAAAGAATACATTTACAAATTTCTGGAGAGGTCAAGACATTTGAGGATGGTTGGAAAGATGAAAGACAACCGAGGGATAAGAGGGAGAGGTGGAAGAAGGATGCAGAGGATGGGAGAAAGTTTTTGAGGGCGGCGGATGTTGTATTGTTAAGGTTACAGAAGGCGAGAGAAAGGGTTGACGACAGTGGTGTGGTCATGGAAGCGGGGGCCGATAGCGCGATGGCGATGAAAGACAAAGAGGAAGAGGATAGACATGGGAGGAGAGATGGTACTGTTCCGGCAACAACGGCTGAAGTCGCGGAGTTACAAGAAGGTCCCTTGCTTACTAGAAAACAGGTTGAGAAGGCGAGTGCGCATGGAGTACAAGGGACGAAAACGTCTGCTGGGGCTTTGGACAAGGATAAGTCGTGAGAGTGGACTTGCTGAGGGTAGAGGTTGGTTGATTGTTCACGGTTCAAGTCATGGTTGAGATGGTACTGAAGAAACGGTACCAGAAGCGAGGAATCAACACAGTTGATACCCGTTGCGTGTGGCTCTGCTGTTGATGATTGTATAGTATGGACTTGGCTTCTCCTTCTGATGATGGATTGAGAGGGCGCTGGACGTCGGTCAGGCGGATGCCTATGTTATGTACTGTAGGTCACTGCCACAACTTGTCTTCCTACTTCAACATGTTACTTGTCTCTTTCAAGGTCATTCTTACGTCTTCAACATGCCTAAAGATCATTCTTACCTTCTTCCAGGGTGTCTTGCTCTCTGTGTCCTTGTCGACGTCCACTTCCACTGCCACATCTACATTCCTCACCTCCCTATCGATCGTCGTGTCACCAGATCTCCTAGAGTCTACATCCATCCTCGCGATCTTGGCCTCGCTCGCGCAGATGTTCACATCACTGTCCGGCTCGCCGGAGACTGACGCTTCCGCTCCATCTATCGCCACCGCAGTCGCCAAGCGGATGGCATGATGGGGGTTGTTCCGGAGGCGACTACTTCGACAAATCCTTGGGTAGGTTGGTGATGTTCGAGGTGCTCGAGTTGTAGAGATCAAGATCGTAGTACAGAAAACATCTGCATTGCGCGTTATGTTTTTACTTCAGCATCTGAAAAATCAAGAAAGCAATGCACCACTTCAGTTCAGCCTCGTCTTCGGCCCTTCACCTTAGCCACTGGGAATTTAACCAAAAAGTCTACATATTAGTACCGATTCTAACCACGTTTGAACCTAGTGCTAGCGTAAGCTGCACTGTCCATCTTTGTCTCCCAGCCCTACCCACGCCTGCTGTTGCGTGTCGATCTCGAGATAACCAGCCTCAATTACACCGGCGATTTGGGTTCTCGGGGTCTTTGATTCCCACAATCGCAATCACAATCACCATGACCGGCAGTTACCTTGACTACCGTGCGATCAGCGCAATCTGTCAGCTTGAAACATGGACAGCTCAGCTCGAACCTTCCATGGACGTATCTCAGTAGTTGTGTTTCTCCTGTCAAACGTCTCTAGCTAGACCGCGCAATCTGTACTGCGGTCTACTCTCATGAGAGCAGGAATACGGAACCAGCTAGCTGTGTGAAGCTAGCAGCACGGTTCAATCGCGGCTTTACAACTGAAGGAATGAGGGAGGAACCACTGTTAATACAAAACGACGCGCACTAGACCTCGGGTTATTACTCATGCGACGTGTGCGTGCACTGCCTGTGGACCTGAGTTGGCTGCGGTTGATATATATACGCTTGCGTCCCGTTGCGCAAGGCTGGCTATCTTCGGGATAATTACTACGCGTTCGTTAACGTTAAAGACAACCAACATGAAACTCTTCGCCCCCATCATGCTCGCTCTCGCTGCCGCATCCGAAGCCGCGTTTTGTAACGGCGGATGGGGTTTACCGGGTGGCTCTACATGTCCTGGTGCCTACGTAAGTCCAGTCCAGTCCTAATTCCCTCTCCCTTTCCCCAAAAAGTCATACCCTCCGAAAACAATTGCTAACCTTTTCCCAGCCGAACTCCTTCTGCGTAAGTCCCCAACAGCACCGCAAACGAAACAGGTTCCGATCTCTAACATGACATCTGTGTAGTGCCAGAGCCCTGGAGCGCCGAGCAGAAACTTTCCTACGTTTAGGAATTGCGTTTACCCTGGTAGTGGGGGTAGGCCGAGTTTGAATGGGTGTGGTGCTGGTGGTGTAAGTACCGATATTCTGTGTGTGAAGGGGAGAAAGAAGGCTAATGAGTTTGTGGACAGATTATCAGCTGCGTAAGTGACGAGTGTCGCGAAACATCCAACCTCTTTAAAGCTAATGATCGCAGTGCGGTTAAGATCCTCCCTCGATATGGTGGACTATCGGATCAGAAACGCTATCCAGGTGGTGCTGTAACTTCACCTGATCTTGCTGCTCGAGCAGACGTACTTTTAGACATTAGACTTTACAATTTTAATGGATTGCGTTGTATACTTCATCAACGTCTAGATGCATCCTTATTCTTCGAAAAGCGAAGTCGCATGTGCCAAGGACCTGCGATTCGACGAACCAGCGGAGTTGGAAAGACGAAATTGATGTCTTCTCCAAAAGTACTCTGAAGGTAGCCATGTCTACGCATTGCGACTAGCCCCGCCTTGAGTGCATATAAAAACCTCCGTTTTGGCTCTTTGTTCCTCTTTCCTACCTGGACAACTTTCTCTCTATTATACCAAAAAACCGGCTGTGTCGGCTCATGTCCTGTCTGTTCTTCCGAAAGATCAGTAACCACTACACATGTTGTCTGTTCCGAATTCCAAACACGGTATCGATGTGTGCCTCCAAAAAGATCGACAATGGGTCGATGATCGTGTCTATCTTCTTGTCTTCCATCTTGCCGACTAGCTTGACACTTAGTGGGTATAAAAACCACTCATTCAGGCTCGTCACTTCTCTTTCCCACACACTAAACTTCCTGTCTTTAAACCCAAAAAGATGAATGAATGATTGCATGTCTGCTCTGTTCTTTCAAAACAAGCAACATGAAGAACCATGTCCTCTTTTCCAAAATCTGAGCCCGAGTCCGATGTAAAAATCGAAAACTAGCAAAAGAGCATCCATGATTGTGTGTGCGTCCAAAGTTGGATAATGAATAACCGATGCGACAAACCCTGCGTTCTCTTTTCGTAGCAGGCCTCTGTCGTTGCTGGTACTGTCTGCTGTGTCATCAACTAGCTTGATCTTCGGTAGTTATAAAGACTCTCTTCCGGCTCCGTACACTCCTCTTTCCCTATACTTCTATACTCTTGACCTCAGAACCAAAACTGCAAATGCATGATCGCATGACTGTTTCGTCCTCTCGAAAGCAACACCGGAAAACCTGATGTTGTGTCCTGTCGTCTCCTGGCTTCATACGACACGAGCATGAAAAGGCCATCAGTCCTGTTCAGGCCCGGGTGTGCATCCAAAACAACGAGAATGCATATCGATGTGGAAAACTCTGTCTTCTCTCCGCATAGCAGTTCCATTAAATTTACACTACTTCTAAAACATGAACACGGTCCAAAACCCAATTACCCTCCTCCAAAATCTATCATACACATCCCACTCACTCCCCCTCCCACTCTTCCCTCACACTCCACCTACTTCGCACAAACCTGTCCCTTAGCCGCAGCAAGGTTCTTCTGATTCTGCATCGTCCCATCCATAACCTCCTGAACCAACATAGCAATGACCGGCGCATCCGCACCCGTTCCCTTCAAGCCCTGCACCTGGCCAATCTCCTTGGTCTGGGCTCCAGCAACAATAGCCAGGCCATCAGCAGCGGGCGACTTGATCTGCGCGGCAAGCTTCTGGTTGTTGGCGCGGATGTCGACGCCCCGCTTTTGGATGGATAGCACGGATTGCTGGGTCGTGTTGAAGCCGGCGGTGCCGGCTTGCAGCTTTAGGGCGTAGACGCTGGGGGACGTTAGAGACTATATGTGTGGGGGAGAAGATGTGGGGCTTACCCTTTGAGTTCGGCGGCTTGGATGTCGAGGTTGGCTTGGATGCCCTTTGCGAGCTTGGATTGGATGTCGGCGCAGTTGCCGCCAGCTCCCTGGCCAGCTTGAGGAGCTTGACCAGCTTGAGGAGCTTGGCCAGCCTGGGGAGCTTGAGGAGTCTGGGGTGCCTGAGGCGCTTGAGCAGGACGAGGTGCCTGTGGTGCCTGAGGAGCTTGGGGAGCTTGAGGTGCCTGAGGCGCTTGCTGAGCGGCCGGTGCAGCGAGAGCGGCACCGAGGAGGCAGAGGATGGCGAAGGTCTTCATGTTGAGGTATGTATAGAGCGATAGAGGCAATATAAAATATTAGAATAAAGATGAATGATGTTCAAAGAATGTGTGGAAACTAGAAGCAAGCTCACACCAGGTGAGTAGCGATCGTAAGAAGTAGGCGAAGTATGTGAGCGATGATTTGGAATGAATACTTCCATCCTTCGACATCCCATCCCTCTCTTATACCTCCATCTCACCTCTCCCGTTCCGTCCCAGCTCACCCGCCCAATACGTCGGTACGTCAGCAAACTCGGACCGACACAACTCTCACAACATGCACCTCAGCACCACCACCCTCCAACCTTATTACCTACCCTTTACCTACCCTCCGGAAACGGACCTTCTTCACATCTCTCCATCTCTCCCATCTCAAGGAGGACAATTAATGCGGAGTCTCCAGCTCTGTCGTCGGATTCGCGCGGTCAGAAAAAATTGGAGACGGCCGTGAGACGGGAAACGGGGGAGTCAGCGTCGCAGATCTGGAGTGGAAACAAATCGGGCCGTGGTGGGCCGGTGGGATGGGATGCACGAGGCTTGTGAAAGCTTGTCAGATGGCTGAGCGAAACGTTCGAGAAGGTGTTCGAGACGTGTTCGTGAGGAGTTGACGTGTGCGGGATAGAGTTGGGGATGGTGTGGTGGCGTTTGAGGATGCGGGTCGGCGGCGAGAATGGGGCTAGGCTGCGTTGGGATGGCGCGGGGTTTGGGGGACGCTTACTTCGAGGCTGCTGCGTCTTCTTCTGCATTACTACAACACTTGAGCGCTCTTTAAAAACCATCAAAATTTAGATATGCACGATTCATGGTTGGGCCGTTTGACATGAAGTTACTACTACCTTCCACACGCGCATATTGTCTTTACTCAAAACCAACATCCAAAAGCCCATGGCGCTGCTGAGCTGCGTGTCCCACACCACTCTACATCAACTCAACTATCCAAACATCATGAACGAGTTCCCATGCCCTGTTTTCTGTCTTCCGAACAACACTTCCCGCTTGCGCACGGCATGCACTCCTATCATCTCCATGACGCTACTGCCGCGAGAACTCTATAAAGCCGTCCTTCGACACTCCCCTCTACTTCTTTCTTACACCACATCTTCATGTTTATTCTCAAAATGACGAACCAAAAGCGGCGTGCCTGACTCGCCATGTGGAGACTTCTTCTTCTTCTTCTTTCTTAAAAAGTCAATTGATGACCTCATGAGAAGTCGCGTCCGACCCATTTTGCATTCTGAAATTGGCCAGGAGACAATCGGATGAGCGCGCCCGCGGACCCTGAAGATCATAGAGCAACAAAACACAGCGAAGAGATCTGGGATGACGATTGTGTCTCTTTCTCCAAAAATACTATCGTTTCCGAACATGAGAAGGGTCGCCCAGCCGACATTGCACAATAAAACCAAAAACTGTGTTCTCATGAGCGCGCTCGCGTACTGTGAGAAGCGCAGATAAACCAGAAAGCGACTCAAACTTCACGCATGGGGACTACTTCTTCTCCTTTCTCCAAAACTGCAAGGCTTCCTTAGCATGAGAAGATTCACCCGATCGACATTGCATAGCAAAACCGAGATTTCACCTTCTGATGAGTGCGTTTGCGGATGTTGAAACGTGTAGAGGAACCAAAAAAAGTATCCACTCTCCAGAATGGCGACTTCCTGTTCTTCTCTCTCAAAACTGATGCTGCCCAGCTGGTGTGAGAAGGCTCTTGCAATCGACATTGCACAACAAAATCGGTAACGAAGAGATGATGTGTGCGCTTGTGGACTAAACTCGTTGATCAAGTCAACATGTCGTCGCTTCTTCCTCGCTTCTGCCACCCAGATCCCATCTTACCAAAATCAACATTTGGCACCGGGATGTCCGTCCAGCAGCTCATCCCACCAAAACTCACACTATACCATTCTATGTACAAAGAGAGACAGTTCGAACTTATGTCTCAAAGACTCCAGGCGACTCCGGAATGTCAAAAACGAATCTATGACCAGACATGTGTCGTTTTCTCCTCTTTGCTTCAACCACAAGGGATGATTTTGAAGGGAGAGTGTCGCGACTATTGGAGATGAATATATAAACCCCCTCTTTCTCCCTTCTTCCTCTTGGTATCTTCTACACAACGGTGTATTCAGAATACCAAAAGACGCTGACATGTATGACATGGCGGCGCTGTCTTCTCCAAAATCAATACCTTCATTGGCGATATTTCTGCCTCTCTTCCTCCTTCCGTCTCTTAGTACCTCCTCGGCATTTAAGCGTTTGAAATACCAAAAGGGAAGCCGCTGCCCATAATGGCTGCGTCGTCTTCTCCGAAAAGCGAAACCAGTAGCCTTAAGAAACATGTCTGCCTCTCTTCCTCCCTCCCTCCAGCTTTCCACATCTTCTCCATACTTGAGTATTCAAAATGCCAATAACCTGCCACATGGCTGCGCCGTCTTCTCCAAAAATCTACGGGATACCTGTTCATGAGTCTGCCTTTCTTCCTCTTCTTCGACGAAACATCAAAATTCCGGTTCTACCTTCGCATGAGAAGCAGACCTTTCTCTGGGGATACTTGAATACTCGCTCAAACTCGACCATGAAGAGCACCTTCTCTTCCGATCTGAACAACAAGGAACAAAAAGATCGATTTGTCGAGTTCATGTGTCTGCGGTCCAGCGCGGGACTCAAAATACCAATAGGAAGCAGCTGTGCTCGCATGTCCGATTCCAAAAACGCAGTACCGATGTCTTGATGTCCTTGCCTGCGGCCGTCCCCGCCTCTTGCTTTCCAAAATAAATCACCCCGCAGCACCATGGTCCGAGAAGCAGTGGCGACACGGAGAGTATAAAGCTTTCTTTCAAGCCCAGTGCTACCATGTACTTGTTCAAACCACTGGGATTACGAAGTTCGTGATCAAAACCTTTCGAGTTTGTCGTGATGACCCTGCTGGTAGTGTCAAAAACCTCATACGAATAGCAAATTTTGAGTACGACTTAGGCCAAGTTCATGAGCTGGACGTAACGAGCAGTGATGAAATGATGATGATCGTCATCATCATTTCAATAGCAACGACACTGCGACCCCATCAGTATACCTCCCAATATAATCACATCAAACATCAACCACACATCACCATCAGAACAGCTATGCAATTATACTTTTTATTATCAAGCGCATACTAAGCTACGTGAGACGCCATCCATCCATCCCAATTCCGAAGGAATAAGAAAAACTACAAGACCCTCCTCAAGCCTACCAGGAGGTCGCAGAGGGGATATCGTCGTGATGCTAATGTTACAGGTTTCCATTTTCCGCCTATCCGTACGCAGATCGTAAGGTCGTGAAGTGATGCGCATGGCAGTCATATCGAGAGAAGATCCGACTGAACGCTACTTGCCGGGTATTGTGAGGTGCTTACAACTCCTGCTTAGCAGAGCTGGCGCTAGCGGCGGCAGCATCGTATCCGCTCTGGGCAGACTTGGAGGCAACCGACGACGCGCTGGAAGCAGAGGATGAGGCAGCGGCGTTAGCGCTGGCAGCAGACTTGGAGATGGAGGAAGAGGATGAGGAGGCGGCCTTGCCAGCAGCGCCGCTGAGGGAGCTGGCGCTGGAAGCGGCGCGGACGGAAGCAGAGCTGGCGCTGGATCCAGCAGCGTCGGTAGCGGAGGTAACGCTGGCCTGCGCGAGACCAATCTGCTGCTTGATCAAGTCGGTGTAGTAGGCGAAGCCACCGGTGGCAGCAGCGTACTGTTGGCCGACGTTGGAGGTAGCAGCACCGTAAGCGGAAGCACCAGAGGCAGAGACGGAGCCAGCGGAGGCAGAGGCGCTGTCACCGTAGAGGCGGGCACGGTGCTTGCGGGCGAGAGCGATGAGCTCGTTGCGCTTGGAGCCCTGGGGAACCTTGATACCGTTCTTGTCAGCCCACTCCTTGATCTGGCTGTCGGACCAGGAGTCGAGAAGGGCGTCGCTGAGGCTTTGCTGGGCGTTGGCAGCAGCGGATGAGACGGAAGCGTAGGCGCTCTGGGACTGCTGGCTGGCAAGACGAGACTGGCGGCGGAGAGCAGCGATCATCGAGTCGCGGGTGTTGGGCTGGGGGACGTTGTAGCCGCGCTCATCGAACCAAGACTTGAGGTCAGAGTCAGACCAAGAAGCGTAGAGCCAGTCACCGGGGTAGTTGGCAGTCTCCTTGGCCTTCTCGGCTACGGACTGGTAGTTGTTACGGACGGCAGCGAGGAGAGAGTCACGCTGGCGGGGCTGGGGGACGGGAATGCCGTGCTTATCGGCGAAGGCCTTGAGCTGGGAGTCGGACCAACTACAGGTCGTTAGTAACTGTGCGGGGAGTAGGTTTCTGAGTACTCACGAATCGAAGATCCAGTCCTTGACACTACCATAGGCCTGGTTCGCGGAGTCCTCGGTCTCGGTCCAGTACACCTTGACCTGCTCAGCGAGGCTCTTGGCGTCCTTCTCGGTGCCCTTCTTCGCCTGCTGGCCCTTGAGGGTCAGGTAGTTCTGAAGGGTCTGCGCATCCCAGCTGGTGTAGGGGGTGACAACCTTGTCGTTCCAGTTGGCCTTGACAGTCGACTGGAGGTTCTTGCGGTCAGAGGGGCTGGGGTGCGGGACGCCGTGGTCGCTGAGCCAGCGCTCAAGCTCGGTCTCGTGCCACTTGTCGTAGACTGCTTCCTGGCGTCAGTATGCTGCTGCATGGCGCTGTGGACATATCAAAACAAACGGGAGGGGTTATGTACTATACGCACCGGCGCTTCCAAACCAGCTGTTGGCCGTTGCCGTGGCAGCAAGGGACACCACGAAGGTGGATGTAAGGGAGAACCTCATGATGTGTGGCTGCCGATGTGAGGATGTGCTTGATATCGATTAATGAAGCAAAGACGAGGGGTTGAAGGGTAGGCAAACTCGACAGAGGTGTGAGAGCTAGAGGGTAGTGGTGGGCAGCGAGTTTATGAGGGGAGGGAACAGACAATGGCGGGTAGATTGTGTGCGTGCGAGTGACGTAGTGCTGCACGTATGGAGCTTGGGCAAACAAGATCCCCAACGCGCCTGCCTTCCAGAGCAGCCAATGAGGAGCTATGGCCACATGCAACCGCGTCTTTTGGCTGTGCGCAATTGTGAGATCGCCTTTCAGGAGCACGGTCTAGGCCCTGCATATGCTTGACGTGTTCGCAGTAAGAGAGCTCCGAGGCCTGTCACTCTTGCTTGGAAAGGCAGAGAGCATCATCGTGGCACAAGTCGTGCGAAATAGCGCCCCTCTGCCGGGCGTTGTGTCGCGATGGCATTTCAAAAAAATCCCATCACGTCGACAAATGCGGGGGCGATCCACACGCTAGCCCCCTACGTCATCCCCAAACATGCATAAAACTTATGAAACCAAGCCTACTTTCAACGCTCCGACGATGGATAGATGGCACAAGACACGATCATCTAGCAACTTATGTTTGATGAATGTTGAACATTTCAGGAGACTTCTGCAAGTCAATTCCAGCTAATTGTACACATGCTCATCTTATCCGAACATCCACCCGCCCCTTGCTTATCCTCGTACGCCTTCGGAGCCGCTTCGTCCACCTTCGCCTGTAATTGTGTTAGCAACATGCCAATACCCTTCGTCAAGCTATGACATACCTTTCCAGAAGCCGCCGGGGACCTTGTCCTTCTCTGCCTCTTCGTTGCTGACCTTCTCATGCGCCTGTTCCGCCCTGTTATCCATGTCCTTGTTGTGTTGCTTGACGTCCTCGCTCTGCTCTTCAGAAGCCGGCGGGTTTTCGTTGAGTATTTTGGGTTTCGCACCTTTGACTTCGTTGGGCGAGGGCTTGTTGTCTTGGCCCTGCTTGACGGCTGGCTCTTTGTTGTCCTTCATCTGGCGGGCCGATGTCGAGAACTCGCGCTTGCCGGAAGAGCTCTTAGGAGCCGGTGACTCGGATGTGGGCTTGGGAGAGTCATTCTGGCTGGCGTTGCTGTCCTTGTTCGGCGACGACGAAGATTTGCCCTGGGCGACCTTGGGAGGTGCGGGGCCGGGGTGCTCGAGGTTCTCGCTGGGGTTGGCGCCCTGCTTCTCGGGCTTCTCTCCAGCTGGGTTGCCCTTACCAGAGCCGTAATCTGATGTCGCGAAACGAACTTGGACGCGGGCACGGGGAGCCGCCGAGAGGGCTGCGGGCCGTAGTGCTGCCGAGCGCAGCATTGACATGGGTCGTAGGAAGCTCATGATGTGAATTGGTGAGATGCAATTGAAACTGACAAAGATTCCTGTGTTGTGAGGTGTGTAGTTTGCAGTTGAGGTTGCCCGACAAACGTAGGGTCTAGAGCTGCAATAAGTCCAAGCTCGTTGTTGACGTCATGGTTTCCTCAAGTGCTAAGCTTCCAGCCGCAACGCACGTCACAGGAGGCTCGCATAACCACATCTGCAGTGCCGCAGCGACGATCAACTAGCCTCTCAAACACCAGCCATTCACGCGATACTGCACTTCAGCCGCTATTTAGTGTAGATAAGACCTTGTTTATGGGACTTTGAAGCCTGTTATGGTGACGGAGAGGCGCATTGCATCTCAAGCGTCTCTTCGGCAGGCGCAGAACACATGCCAATGGCCTGCGATAACGCGAAGTGAGCAGCGAGCCATCACTAATCGCAATATATGCACAAAAGATTCGTAGTTCCAACGATGAGACTATCCTACCACTCACAATAAACAACAATATGAACCTTCCTCTCTAGACCCGGATATTGACAATCCGTGATATCATCAGGGTTGTCTTTCTCATCAGCCTTCTTACATCCCACAGTCTTCCCCAATCCCATACTAGGACAATGGAGCACACCGGGATTAGTTCCGTCGCTCTAGTACTCGCAGTCCTTTTCTCCAAACAGTGGCATAGTGAAAGTGCCGTGCGGCCACGGCGGGCTTGACAGGGCTGAGGCATCGGACCATTGCCGCGAGACATCGTTGAGGATGGGTACGCTGCAGCCATCCGCTTGGGTGTTGGGTTTGATCTCGAAGAATGTCCAGTTGTTGTAATCTTCGCCATTGCCTCTTGTGTTTCGGAAGATCACCGACAATGCTTTGGTCGGAGGTGAGGGTTGGGTTGGCGGCGGAGGTTGCGATGCAGAGGATGGCTTGGGCGCTACTGAAGATGATTTCATCGTACTAGGCTGTGCCGGTGTCCACGTAAGAAACGGAGTATCCGTCGCCAAAGAAGACTTTGAAGTTGGTGATGATGTGGCTATCGACGAGGGCGGTGGGCTTGAGCTTTCGCCGGTTGAGTCGCTCAATGACGGCCTGACCGTTGTCTGCAAGGTGGACGGAGTAGGTAAGGTCGAAGCTGGTGATGGGATGGGTGATACCGATGATACCGACAAGCTGTTGCTAGGTCGAGCACAAGTGTCGCCATCTTGACGTTTCATCAAAGCCTCGAACTCTTTCCACTCTGCTTCGTCCGCATCCGTCACCTCTCTTCCTCTGAGCAAGCGCAAGTCTTTACCACTGGATGCGACGGACCGTTTCTTTGCCTGAACGACCTGATCTGGGAATGGCTGCCATGTGTCTCTGTAACGGTAGGTCGGAGCATCCTCAAACCAAAGCTCTATCGCCGCAACTTGCTGCGGATTGCATCCGCCTTCTGCTCGCACGAGAGCGGCTGTCACGGGGTCATATTGAATGTAAAGCTTGCCTTTCGGGGTCAGATCATCCCGATTATTTTCCTCAGCCGGAGAGTAGGGTATGATTAGTGCGTCATTCCGTCCAAGGATGTTGTTTAACAGATCTTTGATCTTGTCTACTTCGTATGGATAGTTAATGTCGTCACTGGCCGGGTTGATAGCAAAATCTCTATACGGCGTAATGATGAACGCACGTACTTTGTTTTCTGCAATGTTTTCGAAGCCTTCGCCGGGCACAGTGAAAACTGTAAGGGGGTGGGAAAACTCCAGACTACCATTTCGGAGAACATCCAATACCTCACTTTGGAAAAGCTGTGGCTGTTCCATGGAAGGTTTTTCCCAGATGTGGGTAAGAAACATGCGTTTGCGGGAGATGACCACGACGGATGTGCAACCCCATAGGTTGACCAGGTGCCAATCGTCCGCTGTATCCTCCAGTGGGAACGACAGCCCAGTCGTTCCTCGGCCCTGTTCAAGAGAGCCGTAAGGGTTAAGGCTATCGTGGATCTGATCAAGGAGCCATGCCCCAACATCACCTGACAGAGTTAGTCGACGTCAGTGGAAGCTGAGTATTACATATGGGCGATGCATGTCAGTAGCTTCCAATAGCTTTAAAAGGATACAACCAGCTATAAGACAAGTCACATACCGTTGTGTTCAGGCCCATACGGGCTCGAAAGACTTCGCTTCGAGACATGACTAGTAGAGTGGCCGGTTTCCACTAGTGCAAGCCCTTCCGCGCTTAACTGCTTCAGCCCTATATAATTAAATACATTAAATTTATTCTAAAATATAATTTATTACTTAATTCTAGTTTCTATACTAAGTAATATTATCTTTTATATACTAGTTTCTACTATTTTAAAATAGCCTAAGTAGCTTAAACTCTATACTATATTAGAACTTATAAACTATAAAGTATAAGAATAATATTAGTTTTTATATATTATTTATTATTACTATAAAAGCTAATTTAGTTTATAAAAGTAGTTTTTACTAAAGTAAGTATATAAGTATATTATTAAAGGTAAAAAAGTAAACTTTATATAGCTAATTTCTTAGCTAAAAAAAAGACTTTAGCTACTAAAGTTATTTTTATATAAGTAAGTAGTATATTTAATAAATAAGTATTATATATACTTATCTAAGTACTTAGAAAAAGTAAGTATAACTTTATATTTTATATTTTTTAAGCTAAGAGTAATAAGTAAAGTTACTAATAAATACTAAGTATTTTTATAATAAGTTTACTAGTAAAATATAAAGTTAGTAAGTAAGCTAAGTAAGTATAAATATTAAAGTAAATAATTATTATTAAGTAGAAATCTAAATCTTAAGTAGTAATACTTATAGCTTAAAGAGCTACTAATTCTAAAGAGATAAAAACTATTACTAGTACTCTAAAAAATATATAACTAAATCTTTTACTTACTCTTAAAGATATAGTGTTAAGTAAGCTAAAGCTTAGAGCTTTAGCGCTACTACCTTTAAAGTAGTTAAAGCTTCTAAATTTTTTAGGCTAGCTAAAAAGCTATTTTATAAATACTAAATACTTTATAAGAGAATTATAATATAATTATATACGCTTATTAGCTTATAACTAATAGAGTAATATATTCTAAAGCTTTATAGTTAAAATATATATACTAAAATTTCTCTTAGTAAAAGTGTACTTCTTCTATTCTTTATATTTTAATAATAATAATAATTAGAATACTAAAGATTAAAGACGTAAGTAGCTTAAATCTAATACTAAACGCTGTACTAGTACATTAAATAATTTATAAGTCTTCTTAGCGCTTATAAAAATAAAACTAATTTCTTACTAGTTATATTACCTTACTTACTAATACTTAACTAAATTATTTTCTTATTTTTTAATTACTATTCTCTAAATTATATTACTCTTACTATAAGAAGCTACTATAAGCTACTTTATATCTACTAGAAAAGAAACTATTAGAGAGACTATTCTAAAGGCTATTTTAGTAGCTATAAAATAAAATATTATCTATAATATAATACTTAATATCTTAGGCGCTCTAAGAAGTATTCTAAAATATATAAAGAGCTACTTTATTAATACTATTAAAGCTCTTATTAAAACTTTTATTAAAGCTTTTATTACTACTATCTTATATATATATTTACTTAGAGTAAAGCTATTAATTATCTTTTCTATTAGCTTTACTATTAAGAAACTTCTTATTACTAATATATATAAGTTCTTCTACTAACCTAAGCTTATTATTAATATAGATTAGATTAATCTTATTACTATAAATACACTAGAAGCCTAAGCTATTTATATTTATACTTTTACGTATAAACTAGTACTAACTATAGAACCTCTCTCTAAGCTTATTTATAATACTATAGTTTTATAAATTACTACTTTAAAGAAGATTCTTAGTTATCTTAATAAAAAATTAGATAAAGATAAGAAAATATTTATAAATAGTCTTTTAAGTATTACTATAGTTAAGTAGATAAAAGCTATAATAGTTATCTAGAATTATTCTTAAGTAAGTAGTTATCTTTACTAGTTACTAAGTATCTAGATAGTTAATATAGCGTTGTATTGTAGTTAATAGAGAATAAATATAGCTAGTTCTATTAGTAGTATACCTATTACTATATATTATATTATTTTTAGTTATTTCTAGTTATAGTATAAAGAAAGTTATATAGATAAGTATAGAATAAGTCTAAAATAACTATATTACTATAGTAATATATACTAAATTAATATTAAAATTATTTAGTAGTTCTAAAAGAGACTAGCTTAAAGTCTTTTAATATCTTTTAATATCTTTTAATATTATTTTACTATAAAGATAATACTAAATTAGGCTTAAGATACTAGTAAATAATTATAAAAATAATTACTATTATAAAAAAAAAAAGTATAAGTAGTATAATTATATATATATTATAAAAGTAATAAAGATACTATAGTATAGTTACTTTATATACTTTTTTTTTTAACTTATTATTATATATATAAAATTTAAAGCCTATAGTTTATTATTACTATTTTATAGTACTAGTAATAACTTAAAAGTAACTTAGAGATAATAAGCTAACTATACTTTCTATATTCTATATAACTTATACGCAAGGAGATACTCTACTAAAGAGAGAAGTATCGCATCTCTAAGAACCTCTTCCGCGCTTAACTGAGGGTTGCGGAAGTGCGATACAGCAATGGTCGTGTTTGAGGAGATAGCAATGCTTTCAAAAGCTGTGGGAAATTCGGTCGGTGCAGGTACCCTAGTCGCCAATCTTCGCACCTTTACATTACAGTTGTCGCAGTCGGGGGCACATCTCTGTCTAGTAGCCGTTGTTGTAGACGTAACCGTGGATGAAGAAGTGGAACCAGTAACATCGCATTTGGTGATGGGTGCACCGCATACTGTGGTGCAGACATCACCTTGCGCCCGCTTGTTTGGCCCTCCTTTGGTCGTAGTTGCAGTCGCTGTACACGCAATGTCGCAGTTGCTAACAGTTGTTAGAGTGCATGTAGAGGATGAAGTCTGCGTAGGTTCTTCAGTCTCTGAGACTGAGTCAGAGGGCTCGGAGGCTTCGTCTGGAACCACCTCGTTGAGAGCATCGAGTAACGGCTTGAGGTCGTCTTGTAAGCCCTTGACAGTATCCACTGCGGCTGTCGTTCCGCCGATAACTGCATCCTTCACCTTGTTGGTAGTGTTGATGACACAGTTGACGAGCGAGAATGCTGTCTTGAACAACCCGCCGAGTAAATCGCGTTCACTGAGAACATCGTGCAATTCATGATCTCGTTCGCTTCTTCGGCGTTTTCCAGACCCACATGGCTCAACTCCGTCTGTTGGCTTTGGTAGCTTGGCCAGGAAGCCAACTGCGTCGGGTATAATATTGTCCAGCTCGTCTGTCACCTCGGTGACATGAGCGACAGGATCTTCTATCCAGTTTTGGAGAATAGGAAAAACGCCCAAGATGGCTATGGATAGATCCGACGCACTCGACTGGACTTCGGTTCCAGTGGGTACCAAGGTAGTTACTGGCAAAGGAGGAATGGTGATACCGGGAGGAGGTAATTGGCTATTTGATGTTGCGAGTATTGTGGAGGCAATGTTGAACGCTGAACTGACTACAGTAGGCTGTACGGTTGAATGGAGGCTTGTCTCACCACTGGCTGTAACTCCCGTGACGGAACTTGATGTAGTCGTTAAATTGCTAGCACTGGATACCGCTGGGGGAAACGTGGAGGTACTCGACGAGACTGGGGATGGAGTGTAAGACGAAGTGATAGACGAGACTGAAGGGGGGCCCGAAGGTTGGGAAGAAGTAGTAAGTCCTCCAGTTGAGGCCTTCGACAAAGATGCAATTGTGCTGGTATCCACGACGGTATCGTTCGTCTGCGTCGCCGAAGAGAGACTAGTGAACGAAAGGCTCGAGGAAGCCGTCGTATGTGGTCCATTGAGTGGAGTGGAAGGTTTGACGATAGGGATGCTTGTGCTGTTGGCCGGCACCGGGAATGGGACCTCACTCTGGAAGATCACGCTGCTGCTTCCGGTACCTGTACTGATCTGTGCCTCGATGAATGCCAAATGGGAGAAAAGTAAAGCAAATGCATTACCGCGGTGTAGGGGTTTCATGACGACGTAGTGATGCAGGAAGAATGGAACGATGGGGAGAGTACTTTGAAAGCTCCTAGAATCATGATCTTTGTTCAGCTTTATGTGTCATCTGGATGGTCAGCGTGCTTGCGCTTCCATCCACCTACAGTCCAATTTAGATGTTCTTGCATACGCTCCGTGTGGTAATTTTTTGCATTTCCGAAGCGCTTGCAAAGGATTGTCGTTGATGTTCTAAAATCGGGACTCAGGACACGTATTCAGCCTTGCATCTCGCTGTCCATTTCTGCGCCGCGAAGCAGCGGTATTGCGAAGGAGCGATGTTGTCAGATCGGTCAGCGAATCCAAGCAAAGAAAAAGACGGATGTTTGGTCCCCGAAGAGGTTTTGGCCCGTGGCGTAGCGTCATACTCTGTCGAGACCAGATGCTGATGGCCATGGGGGCTGATTTGACGATGCAGTTTACCATGTTTGTGACTTGTCTGACGTTGCTGTACCAGCGGAATGCCAGGTGTATTTCGAATGCGAATCTACTAGACGGAGTGGTAGAGTTAGGAGAGGGAGATGTCGATGTTGAACAGAAGGAAACGATTCGAAGGTGACGAGGATGAGTGCGACTACCACTTACAGGCCGCACGGACGACCACGAGTCCGGCGCTAACCCCATGGCGACCCCAGATGGCCATCCATCGTTTTTGGGCAGTATCTGAAACAGTACGCCGCATACGCCGCATGATGACGGCAATTCTACGGGGGGCCAGTCAGATGTATTTATATCGCGATCGCGACTGAGCGAGCAATCGAAACCGTCGCTTGATCTCACCACCCGGCTACATTCCTCACCTGTGCACACTGTGCACCACCACCGGATTTCACCATGCCGCCGCATGCCGCATGTGCTGTTACCAAGAACTCGGAAACCGACCCATACTACCCAGTATTTCTGCAGTCGTGCGAGGATAATGACGCGGCCATTGCCTTACAACTGGCACCGGATCGCGAGCTTGGGATGTTAACATATGGTCTCCGCCGAGCTGTTGAACGCGGACATCTCGCCTTAGCCAACCAATTACTTGGAGTAGGTGCCAAATGGGATACGCGCACAGTGCATCTTGCATCCAGATCCCACGAAACCGTGAAGTGGTTGATAGAGTCTGGTTACGACGTCAATACCAGCGTAGCCCGCGGTAATACTCTCCTCCTGTAAGTCTGCACGGCAACTGCAACTACATTAAATAGCTTATTGGCATTAGATTCGTTGTTCAAGAAAACGACGAACCGAGCATTCGACTGCTCCTTAAACTAGGAGCGAACCCCAACCTCGGGCCACCGAAGAAGATGACAGCGCCAGCGATGATTATGCGTCCCATATCCAACTGTGGCCACACACTCAATAGCGCAGCCGTACACTGTAGCCCAGAGATATTCGCTCTATTGCTCGCTCATGGTGCTGTGCTATCCAACTCTACACCGCTCCACCGTGCAGCGGGTAGTATAAGCGACAACAGAATTTCAATGCTTGAGTATCTCGTCGGAGAGCTAGGCCTCGACATCCACGGTATGGACAGTGGACCACCTATACCAGACGAGTGTTGCGGACGCGAAGGCACATCACTACACTGTGCTCTCCGCCGGAAGCGATACGAGACGGCTAAATGGCTACTGGAGCATGGTGCCGACCCCGACAAAGGCGACTCTTTCGGGACGCCAGCAAGAGCATTGATGAGGCGCCTCCCTGATGACAACGAGCTTGTGGTTCTGCTTCGGGAGCATCGAAAGAACACTAAGTCCATCGCGCACTTCTGAGGAATAAGTTGGACCGCCGGAGTCAGATGTATGTATCGTTGAGTCGATGAGATTGCGACCATTAGCAATGTACTTTTGCAAAAATCTAGCAAAGAAAGTTACTGGTACTCAGCTCACCAAACTTAGTCTGCTATACACACTTAACGCGCTTCCTACTCTCCTCCTCACTATCATCAACATCGCAGTCCTCGAACTTCCTCTTAACCCCCCTCAAAACCAAACACCTCACCTCAGGCGCCACACCCCCATCCCCACCCACCACCACCCCCCTCCCCCAAGCCCTCTCAAACCTCCACCCCTCTCTAAACACCACCACCCCCTCCCCTTCATTCCCCCTCCCACTAGGCCACCCCTCCTTCTCCCACCTCTCACTCGGCACCTCACACCCCTCCCTCAGCCCCTGCACCACCCTCTCCCACCTCGCAACCGTAGCCGCATAAACCGCCGTACCCTTAGTTGTCATATCCCCAACAATCTCCCTGTACTTCGCCTTATCAGCGACCAACCGCCTCACCCACCCCCTATCCGCTTCCACCGCCCCGTAAAACGCACATTTGGAAGCATAGGGACGGAGGAGGGGACATGTGGGACCGCAGCGGCCGCGCGTGGAAAGGGGGCTGCAGGTGAGGCAGTAGGCGCCGAGGGTGTGGTAGAGGTTGTGCATGTGTGTGCGGGTTATGAGGGATGCTTTTATGATGGAGAGGGAGTGGTGGAGAGCGGAGATGCGGAGCAGCATTTGGGGTGTTGCGCGGGGTTGGCGCTTTGGCTTGGGTGGGGAGGAAGAGGGGAGGAGGAGGTCGAGCCATGATGCTTGGGCGACTGTTGGTAGGGCGACTAGGGCGCGTGGCATAGTTCGTTCTCTAGAAAGTGAGCTATTGCTCTGTCTGAAGAGGAAGAGCTTGATGGGTATCAAATGTATATCAATATGGAGATTTGGGTAATACAGGTTGTATCTGGCGATGGTTCAATGTAGTGTGAAGGTTTGGGTCAGAAGAACAACACATTGTGTTAATGCTACAATGGCTCACTTCGAGAAGGTCATGGTCTCACCCAGCTGTTGCGGTGGTGGTGGAGAAACATGAGCTGAAGATGTACATTGTGGCAAGCGATTGCGTTGTGAAGTTGCGTTTGAATTCGGGCACGTGTTGATAATCAGCGTGGTACTAATTTCAGGGTGATGTGTCCCGCTCTGCCCGAGATGATGTTTGCTATTGCCAGATGATTAAGCTTTCGTACTCATCCTCTTCCACATCTCCTTCATTCACCTCCTTCATCCTTCCAGAACATCTACAACAATGCGGTCGGAATCCTCTTCTCGCCCAATATCTGATCAAAAGTCGTCGGAACATGGCGTTGCTCTCTCTCCACCTCCTGATTTCTCATCCTTTCCTCTAGCTTATCCCCGGTCCCTCCATTGCTCCGCTGTTCCTGGACGGGCAGCTGCGGTTGAGGCGATTTGACCGGCTCTGAACCAGCCACAGGACTGAGCGGGACATCTTCGAAATCAGGTGAGTTTGAGAGCCTGGCGAGGTTGAACGAGAGCTCATTGGGTGTTTCATCGAAGCTAAAGCGGCGTAAGAAGGGTGGCGTGCTCCCAGTGATTCGGATAACTGGAACGTTGGAAGAAGTCTTCGCGCGGACGTGGGTGCTCTGCATCTTACTGTCGTGTCTCTCAGTCTCCGCCTTTCTCTCTTTCGTGCTACTGCGCTTCACAGCAGCTTTGCGACTCAGCCTCACGGGGTTACTGCGAGGGCCGAGTACATAGTCGTGGTTCTCAACGTTGTCGAGTGGCGCGTCGTTCATGCTGGTGTCTGTAGTTCTTTCGATGCTGAAACCCTCGCATGTTCTCTCCAGCCGTGCAGGGGCACTTCGATGCTTTTCAGCTTCCGTATGTGAAGACCCTTTTTGTTGACTGCTCGAACTTGACGGTAGACAGGTGATGCGCTGCTCATACCCATTATCGTTCACGAAGCGATCATACCGCACTTCAATATCGCGGTCACCATTCCACCTCACAAAATCTTCAAACGGCATCACGCTCTTCTGAAGTGGTGTTTCTCTCGATGCCATGTCGATTTGATGAGGGTATTAGTCGACGGTAGTAGCGGGAATATATCGGATTGCTCATTACGGTCGCCCTACTCTTCAAATCCTCACGTTGTTTGCGTACGAGAGACATCGTGAAGATGTGGTGTTTTCCAGAAGTTTGCGCAACATTGCGAACAGTGTGTGATTTCGGAGATTCGTCATGCATCTTCGAGAGTCGTGTAGAGGAGTTATGCGAGGTCCTTAGTGTCCGTGATGGAAATTCCGTAAAGTCCAAGGTGGGAGCAAACGGTTTTGCGTCTTTCAAGCCTCTTTCTCCTCTTGCATCCTCTTAACCTCCGCTTCCACCCCTTCCACACTCATCGGCACTTTCCCTCCCTCCCACCTCTCCCTCTCACTCCTCACCCACCCCTCCAAACTCAACAGCCCCACACACAAAAACCCCAAAACCTCTCTATCCGTATCAAACACCTCCCACCACTCACACTCCGGCATCTTAATCCCCGTCTCGCGCGCCGCAAGATAAATCCCCGCCGTTGCCAACTCATGCGGCTGATGCGTCAGGTAAAGGCACTGCGGACTCAAGAGCGCGGTATTAAGATGCGCGAGTGCGCGTTTTGCGAGTTCAGAGGCGCGCGGGTGGCTGAAGATGTCGAGGGCTTGCATGTATGTAATGCATAGTGTGTAGGGCAGTTGGACGTGCGTGTTGAAGCCGAGGGTACGCAGGATACGTTGTTCGGTCGTAAACAGCGTTGCGCGACGGCGCTCGTATGTGCCCTCGCTGACATAATACCGTGTCGCATCTTCCCCCGTTTTCTGCAGCTGTTCAAGATCAAAGTACGTCGCCGGCAGCGAATCGAGATACGCGTACACGTTTACGAGACTGCGCGCTGACTTTGGGTACGCAGAGAGCTTCGTGGTGAGGTACAGCGACGCGGCTGAGACTTGTTCTGCGCCGAATTCTGTGAGACTGCCGCCTTCGGGACCGAGCCAGAAACGCATGAAGATTACGATGGCTTGCGCGATTACTTCTTGTGGGAGACGAAGCAGGATGCCGGCGGCTTGCGTGAGGCGCGCGCCAGCGAAGCGGACGGAGTCTTCGAGCGTGGGTGGGATGCCATCGAGTTGCGAGCCGGAGGTTTCGAGCTGGGCGACGGTTGCCAATGGGTTCGCGAGGGGCGACGGTTGCATCTTGGAAGAGTTGGAGTGGGGTAGGAGCGAGCGCGACGGCGTTAGGGTGGTGTGGCAGCTTTTGCGCGGAGGGAAGTTGGGGTCGATGCTGTGGAGCTGGTGGACTTGCGATGGGTGCGCCTCGGTACACTAACCGTCATCTTTCTTAGTCAACGATATCAACTCCACACACGGCAGAGACATGTTACAGAGTGCCACTTTGCGATCTTGGTCGATCAAGGCCCTCAAAGAGGCTTGACGGCTCGCTATATATGCGGTGCAACCTGGCAAACTTCCATCAAGAAACCGTCTCCTTAGCTCAATTGGGAGAGCGCCAGACTGAAGTCATCAGTCACTAAATCTGGAGGTATCGTGTTCGATCCACGAAGGGGACAAATCACCGTGCTTGAGCCTGCTCAAGAAAATTCGAACCATTCTTTTTGCAAATCTTTTGCACTTTCCAACGGGCTTCACCGCTCAGTAGACGATCAGGGTACAGGGTTGAAGGGAGGTTGGGAGAGTAGGTCCGTTACCCCTCTCTGCTCACTGCCTCATTTTTTTTTGTACATATCAAGCGAGAGGACAAGCGAATGTGACAGCCATTGCGCTGGTGCCACGTAGGATGCATACGCCTCACGATGACGAGGTGGATCTCAGGATTTCCTTTGGCTTACTTGCTCGGGGAGGTGGTTACGGTTAGGATGGGGAGTTGAGGGGCGATGGCGTAGGCACTCCAATCGACGGAGAAGATGAATATTCGCTATGTTTTCTAACCTGCACGTTTGACCCTAGTGTAGGCTGCAAAACTTCTCAGTCACTTCTTAGTGTGAGGCGTAGATTTAGGTGGCCTCATGGTTGTCTTGGCTTCGCACACATAGTTGGGCTGATATTCAAACACGATGTCTAAATTATCAAACATGTTAGGCAAGTATTTGACGGAAGTGTTTCAAATCACTGCGCTGGAGTGGGCTTGTTATCCATTAGTAATACAGCATTTGAAATCAGCCTGGTGTAAACACTGTCAAACAATATTCAAGAACAGGATGACGTGGATAGCAATATCATTACTGTACTCTACGACAAACAACTTTTTGACCTTTCCCCAACTCCCGCTAAACTACATCACATTACATCACCCATAGCAAGACAATCTCAAACACTTTTGAAGGTGAACAAAAAGAGTACAATAGCATTAACACAATAAAATAACTGATTAAACGAGGGCGTAAAGGGTGGGTATCTTGCCGGCTAAATGCTATCCAAAAACCGCTAATCAACACGACTAATACACACAAAAGAAAAAGAACCTTCCGCGGTATTTCGCCCGCGAAAGATAAAAAGGAGGGAGAAGGGTAACTCTAAACATTCCCAAAGCTCAAAATGACCAACCCAATAACCGAGAGAGAAAATAGAACAATCCGATGTATAAATCCCAAAAACGCAAAGCCCAGAAAATAGATGCTGAGTGAAGAAGAGGAAGCGTGACGACTAGAAAGGAGATGTAAAACCCAGATCGAAAGCAAAAAAACGCCGGTCGTTATGTGTGCAATAGAATGCGATATGATCTAGTCGATACCAATCATGGTACCATCGCACCTCCAGTCATCCACTTCGACATCCCGGGCAGCTGTGTTGGTAGCTTCGGGGTCGATTTGGACGTGAGTGAGCCAAGTGCCCACACGGTTCTGGCCGACCTTGCGGCCGTCGCGAGAGAGACCGGCCATGGTGGAGGAGGTGACGACGGGTGTGGATGCGGGTCGGACGCGAGGGGCGGCAACGGGGGCAGGCGCGGGCGCAGCACGGCGTACGCTGCTGCTGGTGAAGAAGGCGCCACGTGGGGTTGACGTGCGTGGAGTGGATGTGCGGGCTGCGGTGCGCGCAACGGATGCGGGCATGGAGCGGATGGCGTACGAATCGTTCATGTGGTGGCCACCTGCGTTGCCGACACCGTACATTTGCACTTCGGGCTCAGTGCGGCGGATGGAAGAGACAGTGGGCGTGGGGTTGAGGTGCAGTGAGTCGCGGAGGTGAGCGGACAGGCGGCGGGATTCGGGTCGGGGGAGGTCGCGTTCGCTGCGGTTGCGTGGGGTGCGGACGCTGGGGCGGCGGGCGAGGGGTGGCGAGGGCTCGTCGGGGATTTCGATGACTTCAACATCGGCGTAGCGGGCTTGTTGCGGGTAGGGAACGCGCATGTCGTTGAGCTGGTCGCCGTCGGGGATGTGTTGGTAGTTGAACCAGGGGCAGCTGCAGGTCTTCCATGGGGCGGCGCAGACCATGCAGAATTGTGCTGTGCAGCGGCTGGATGTTGTTAGATATTGTTGCATGTGCATGATATAATGAACGTACCAGGTCATGTGATTGCAACCTTCCTTCAGCTCGACAACAGCCTTGCAGCTGTAGCATCGTTGCCAGCCCTTCTCCTTGGCCATCTCTACCAGGCGGTTGGTCTCCTCGTCCTTGGGGCATTCGCGCTTCGTGTGGAACTTGCTGTTGCAGAGTACGCAGACCTTGGTGTTGCACGTGCTGCAGCGTGCGTACTTGCGTCCGTATGTCGGGTCCATCTTGATCTTGGAAGGCTTGATCCACTGGCCACACCCTTTCGTGGGGCAGTATAGGCGGTTGGCAGTCGTGTACTCTTGGAACTTCCGGTTCCATTGGACCTTGAACTTGTCATCGAAGAGGCGGTCGGCATACTTCAATGGGATGTGCTCTGAGGTGCAGCATCGTGGTGGCATGTGAGCAGGGTCCTTTACGGAAAGGGTGAATTGGCGCTTGAGGCACGAGTAGCACATGCGATGGCCACATGCGAGCTTGACGGTCTTGGTGATGGGTAGGTCATCGTTCATGCACACGAGACAGTCGACCCTAATTGAGGTTAGCTTTGTATGGGTAACGTGACGGGGATACCAACGTTTTCTCTTCAGCCTTGCGCGAAGGCGTTCGCGAAACTGGAGGGGCCGCCTTGGAGAAGAAGCTTGACAAGATGCCCCCGGTGCTCCGACGGGCAGCATCCTTGACCGACTGCGTCCTGGTGAGTGGCGTTGGGGGAGGCGACTTGACGGTGTTGCTGCGTCGTACTGTCGGCCTGGGCTCTCGTTCTCTGGCCGAAGTATGTGCTTTTGGCTCGCGTGTAGATGAATTCCTGGCCCTCATTAGCTGAGCTACGTGTACAAGTGGAGACGGGACTAACCTGGTCAATGGCGGAACTTCGACCCTGCGGACTGACGCAGATCCAGAACCTGAATGCGGAGTGTAGGCAGTCCTGCTAGAAGAGCCGCCTTCCTCGCTTCTCTTGCGCCCAGATGCTCGTCGCACAGGGACTTCCTCAACGTGACCCATGGACTTGGGGCGGCCAAAGACGAAGTCGTCATGGTCATCAGGTATCACTGCTCTCTTGGGCTTCCGCGTGCTGTCCCGTCGCACCTCCTTCTCACGGCTGCTCCGTGGCTTTTCCTTGGCCGGTGTGCGTTTGCTGTCTGATACCACGCGATCGCGGTCGCGCCTCTTCTCAGCCTCGTTGCGTGAGTAGTAGGACTCTCTGCGCGCTCTAATATCCTCAATGTCGACCTCGGCCTGTCTCCTTGCCT